CCACCCAGCCCTCAGGTCACATGCAGCTTTCCCCTGCCATCCTGCCTGCCGGGCTGGGGCCGTCGGGTTTTGTGCAGAGGGGGCAGGAGAGCCCGCAAGGGCATCGGCACCTCGTTGTGTCTCCTCCTGGGATGCCCGTCTGCATGGCAAGCAGAGGGTGGGGACAGCACCGAGGGGCGTGGGCTGCGAAATAAGTGCCCCCGGCTCGCCCTGGCTCCCCTCCTGCAGGGAGGCAAGGGCAGGGAAATGAGGGAACAGGGACACAAGGAGAGGGGATGAGCCAAAGACTCCTGGCCCCTCTGCTTGCTCAAGCTGTAAGACACTCAACATCAAAGATCACCTTGGTCTCAATCACACAAAGCCAGGAGGGTTGTAGGAACGTGATGGTCCCATGATTTGGGGCACCTCAACCCTTCCCCTGCCCACCAGGTGGGCAGCTTCTGCCCTGGGCTACTTCTTCCTCTCCTCAAACCCAGCCCATGAGGAGCCCCAGAAGCACAACACCACCAACCCAGCAGGCACTGTCCTCCTCCTGACCCACACTAACCCGCGACAGAGGTGATGGGACAGACACAGGGTTGAAGCACTGAGTGAGGAGTGCTCTGGGCACCACTTGCAGGGCAGCAGCTCCATCACCACCCCACCAGCCCTGCAGGAGCACAGCCACAAGGTTGAGAGGACACCCCAGGACACAGGGACAGCCCCAGCACAGCAAGGCACTGGGGACACCAGCAGAGTCTGGTTCTTGGACCATTGCTCTAAAGACTTCTAACAGGAGAGTGTTTTACTGGAGGTGTGGCCTTGGCAGTGAGTCCTGCCTCTGTCCAGGAGGTCCTTTCCCAACCTCCACTTCCATCTGAGCACTAAGCCTAGAGGCCATGGCTGCATCATCACCACCTTTAATGAATGGACCAGTGGCCAAAGAGACGTATCAGAGACCTGTCCCATTACCTGAAAGGCTACTCCAAAAGTACTACAGGCACTGCTCCAGCCCCATCACATCTGAGGGCACCTCCACTAGCAACCCCACACACCCACCCACCTTCAGAGGCAGACTCAACTTGCAGCAAACACCCTTGCTGACACATGGCTGCTACAGTGGTGTCTGAGCTGGGTCCTCCCCCCACTCACCCACTCTCTGGGCCTGGGAGGGCACACGGGGCACTTGGGTGGAGGCTTGTCTCATGGTGCTGATGTTGGAGAGCAGGCGGCGGGGCTGGGCAGCAGCCCTCAGGATGGGGGTGGCTGCAGGATACGCTGCTGTAGAGACAGGGCATGATTAATAAAGCTTCCTGGTAGCAAAATAATGAAGGAGCCATGGTGGGGAGTGACAGTGGCTGGGGGAAGCTCAGGAGCACCTCACCTCTGGGGGTCAACTCCAACATCTCATCCCCTGGTGCCCATCACCACGAGCCCTGCACCAACTCCCCCCCGTGCTCCTCTCCAGGCAACAGCTCCCCATGGCTACGTGCCTTGTGCTGCTCTTGGAGACCCCCAGCCCCTACCCGAGCCCAGGTGGTGCCAGGAGGCCCCAGGAGCCCCAGGCTGACTCACGGGGTGGCCGGGAGGGCTGTGCAGTCCAGCGGGCGGCAGGACGGATGGGGACAACTGGGCTGGGGCTGTAGAAGGCAGCTCTGGTTTGTGGCTAGGAAAGGAGAACATGTTATCTGAGATGACCTGGGAGCTGAGCTAAACCAGATCTAACCCAGAGCATCTCCGTGGCCACCACACATGGGCAAAGGAGGTAAAAAACCCACATGGTCTGCAACATGTCAGAGCCCTTTAAAGATCAGCCTGCAGTCCTCATGCCTGCATGTCCTCCAGCAGCTCAACCTGCCTTCTCCCCATGAGCTTTTGCACTTGTACAACCCTCCTCCCTCCCCTCCTTTCACCAGGGCACTTGTTCTCCATGCTCACAGCAAACTCCTCCTTAGTTCCCTTTCCGAGGATCAGTCCGTGGCTACTAACCCCCCAGCCCATTGCCTGGAGCCCCTGCATCCCACCAGCACCTTGGCGAGCCCTGGTTCATGCAGGATCCCAGGGCTGATCCCACCAATCCCAAACCAGGACAAGTTCCTCAGCCCAACCTGCCACCCGCCTCCTCCAGCCTGGGGGTAGATTCAGGTACCAGCCAGGAAGAGGGACTCACCTGAGGGATGGGGGGTAGGAAGTACCCCGGGTGGGGCTGGAAGGAGCCCAGGAGAGGGCCGGGCAGAGCCCTCATGGTGGCCAGTCTCTGCATGTACTGGTTGGTGAGGATTGCTTTCCTCTCCTCTTTCCTCTGAGCGAGCGCGACATAGAGAGGTTTGGTGCTGACGATCCGCCCGTTCATTTCTGTCACGGCCTTGGTAGCCTCTTCTGGGGAGGAAAAACATACAAACCCAAACCCTTTGCTGTGGCCACCCTCTGTCATCACCTAAAATTGGATTAGAACAAGACAGCTAAGTCCACGGATCGCTGCAGCACCTGCAAAGTGGGGCAGGGGAGGGGTGTGTGTGTGGGGGACATGTAGGATCCCACAGGCACCCCATTTTAGCCCCTCAACCCCAGGTGGGATGGATGGGGCTGGACCCAAGGGACTCCCCATGGAGTGGTTTCTCCATGAAAGGGGAAGATTTTCTTGGGCAAAACCCAGTAGGTTTGGGAAATTAAGATGGCAGAGTCTGGGGCAGGCTGAGATGTGCAGCCTGTGACCCAGGGGGTCTGTGCCCCAGCCCCACAGGACCCACAGGCCAGCAATGCTCTGGTGCTTAATGCCATAGGAGCCAGCAAGGGCTAGGGATGAGGGGGATACCACCCCCTGCCCAGGCAGTACCCATCCATGGCAGCTGGCAGGTCATAGATGTCTGACCTCAAAGCCAGACCATCCCCCCTGCACCCACAAACACAGCTTGACACCTTCTCTGTGGTGAGACTGACACTTTCAATGTTCTTCCAAAAGAAAAAAGCCAGCCTGTCAGCCAGGCAGACCCCACTCTCTCCAGAGCAAAGTAGCTTTTGGATCATTTCCAAGTGTCTCAGTGTCACCTTGGCCCTGAACTGCAGAGCAGCTGTGCAATATTTGGGATGATGTGGCTTTAAGGTCCCATAAGCTGCACCTCACTGGGCTGGGGTAACTCAGCAAAGCTATAAAATATTTGCTGAATCAATAAGTTCCTCAGGACAGCCTGGAGTACAAGTGTCCTTCACACTTGGCTTGAGATACAAGCCATCAGCATTGCTCAGTGACAATCCCAATCCATTCCCAAGGGCTGCACAAACAGACAGGCTGACCCCAGGAGCCCCAGTCCCTCACCTTGGCACTGGTGATGGTGCCATAGGGAGAGAACTCCTTCCTCAGCCTCTCATCATCTATCCCATCATCCAGGTTCTTCACATACAGGTTGACACCCTGCAAAGAGGCAGAAATGCAGCTTGGCCTCTGGGATCCCAGAATTGCAGCAGCTTTTCAAGCTGGATGCACATTCACTGGCAGCTCAGCCAGAGGGTGAGACATCCCATAAATATGTCCTCTCCAGAGCAGCTGCAGGGCTGGTGATGTGGACCCAGGACCACAGGTGAGCTCCACTCATAGGTGAGACACCATGAGTGAACATGGTACCCAGACCATCGCTATGAAGTTGCTCCAACACCTTGGGAAGTTGCCTCATTTCCAGACTAATATTTAAATTTCTGGAAAAGAGCAGACCCATTTGTTCACCTGTCAAGATTAACTTGGGTTTAGATCTCTCTCCTCTTTCCTGATACAGCATCCCAGGACATTACCAGGCAGTGACCAGACCCCCCTGTGGGTCTTTTTTAATTGCAGAAGTGACTGAGAACATTGACCTGCTCTGGAAAGCCCAGTGCTGTCCCCAGGCTGAGCTGTCCCTGGATACCCCAGGCACGTCACCAGTGCAGCCCTGCAGGATGGAGCACCCTGCTCTCCCCTTACCTGGTACCTGCTCACTCGCTCCTGCTTGATCTGCTCGAATTTCCTCTTCAGCTCACTCTGGCGCTCCAGCCGCTTCTGGGCTCGGCCCACATAGACCAGCCGCCCGTTGATCTCCTTCCCGTTCATGTCGGCCACTGCCTGCAGGCCCAGGGGAGGGCTCTGAGCACAGCAGGAAGCCAACAGCTTCTCCTCTTCCCCCACCACCCCACTCGAGCCCCACGGCGAGCTGGGGCTGCAGCTCTGCTCCCTGCACCAGCTCCTGCCCATCCAGGCACCCCTGCCAGTGCCAGCACCCAGGGAGACAAGTGAGGCTCCCCCCAAGGAGAGGTGGGAACATCAGCAAGCAACAAGCTCAGGGCTGAGGCAGCCTTCTGGGCTCGGCCCACGTAGACCAGCCGCCCGTTGATCTCCTTCCCGTTCATGTCGGCCACTGCCTGCAGGCCCAGGGGAGGGCTCTGAGCACAGCAGGAAGCCAACAGCTTCTCCTCTTCACCCACCACCCCACTCGAGCCCCACGGCGAGCTGGGGCTGCAGCTCTGCTCCCTGCACCAGCTCCTGCCCATCCAGGCACCCCTGCCAGTGCCAGCACCCAGGGAGACAAGTGAGGCTCCCCCCAAGGAGAGGTGGGAACATCAGCAAGCAACAAGCTCAGGGCTGAGGCAGCAGGTGGGCAGCAAGGAACCTCTTGCCTTTTGGGCTTCTTCGTGCTTCTCAAAGTTGACAAACCCAAAGCCCTTGGAGCGGCCAGTGCTGTCCATCATGACTTTGACACTCAGTGTCTTCCCTGCAAGAGGAAAGGAGAGGAACCATCTGGAGGGTGCCCACCACAGAGGTGCTGCTGGCACCGTGCTCAGGAGCCACCATGAGATACTAGGCCAGCAAGGAGACCAGACGGCTGTGGCAGCACAGAAGAGCCAAACAGGAGGATCCCTGCCATGGGGCAGGAATAGGAGGCTGCACATGTTGGTGAGGGTGATCCCTCCCACTACAGATGCTGCTGTCTCCTCTGCTGGCCTTTGGGTTTCTCCAGCCAGTGCATCGAGTTTGTTTGGCCACAAGTTCTCATCTCCTTTATATGTGAACACGTCTTGGGTCTGTAGGAATGGTCTGCACAGATCACCTGAGCTAACACTGGCCAGAGATGGTTAGTATAGTCTGTGGGTTGGCACAACACTAAATCCTGTCACAATGGTCTAAATTAAAAAGACTTTTTTGCTTTAAATTCAGACTCATCATCTCTTCTTCCCAGTGCTCCCACAGCCAGGCAGCAGGTGGGTTTCAAGACAATTAAAAAAAACCCTAACAAAACAAAACAAAAAAAAAACCCAAACATTTTTGTTACCTAAGAAAGTAAAACCAATTTTTCTTCAGGACAACACATAACAAGTTAACCTCCAACCTAGCAAAAAGCACATGTAACATCCTGATGACTGAAGCTGCTGAGGTCCTTTGGTGAGGTGATGTTGAAGCAGTCAGGTCCCACCAAGAGGAGGGGCTCAGTATGTCAAGGAAGCACTTGGCCTAGGTTTCTTTGCAGTTGCCCCAACTCCAGTTTATCAGACACGAGGATGTTTTGCTTTGAACAACCCTACTCACCAAACTTGGAGAATATTTCCCTCAGTCTGTCATCATCCATGTCATCCCCAAAGTTTTTGATGTAGACGTTGGTGAACTCCATCGCCCGCGCCCCAAACTCGGCCTCGCGCTCTTTGCGGGACTTGAAATGGCCAACAAATCTGCAGGAAGCAAGGAAAGGGACATGAAGCCCTCCATGTCCTCTCTACAGAGCAGGAGAGAGGCCAGCACCTCAGGGCAGGCTTTGCTCACCCACAAACCCACTGTGTTTCACACCCAGCAATTTCAACTTGTCCCACCAGGGTGTTCCCCAACCCACACACCCACTTGGCACTACTGAAGTGGGGACAGTGGTAACACAGGGCACAGCCCCATTCTGGGGGGTGTCACCCCAGGAGACCCCAAAAGACCCCAAGGGATGCCACCAAATGCCAGCTCTCTTGCTCCATGTTATTCCCAGGCCCTCCAGGAAGCTGCTTCCCTCTGTGGACACAGGGATGTGGAGAAGAAGGTGACGCAACCTGAGCAGAGCAACAAAACCTCTTCCTGCCCAGATTATCTGATGCTGGCAGCAAGACCGAGGAGCAGCCCTGCTTTGTGAGCACTCATTACCCTGCCTCAGCAATAAAACACAGCCTGGGGTTGGACTCCCTCCCCACCAACAGGAACAGCTCCAAACCACTATCACACTTCCACCAGCATCGACCACAAGTGACTCACTGCCCTGGAGCACATTGGAGACACCCGCCCAGCAGGAAGGGGTGGGAAGAGGGGAGAAAACAGAGCAGCAGGAGGTGGCCACCCCAGCAGGGCAGGGGTTTGTTCCTGAGCAGGCACCAAGAAAAGGGAGGAGCGGGGGCAAGCACAGAGCTGGGGAGACACCCCCCCCTCGGCACTTACACCTTCCTGTCATTGAGCAACATCCCATTCATGGTCTCGATGGCCCGAGTCGCTGCCTCGTGGGTCTCAAAGTGAACAAAGCCATAGCCACGGGACCCGTTCTCATCACAAACCACCTGAAAACGCAGAGCAAGGACGAAGTAAAAGAGACAGACGCTGGTTTTCTCCACGCCTGCACATGAGGACACTGCAGGAAAACCCACCCTCATTTTCCAGGGGCCTTTTCCCTCCCTGATACCCTACTGCAGTGCTGGGTGTTGGCAGCAGGGCAGGGAGCTGGGGGAGCCCAGGGCCAGATGCTCAGTGCTTGATATGATGCCCAGGAGGCTGTGGCTCCCTGAGATCTGATGCCACCAAGGCACTGAGCACACAACATCCCTGTGCAGGGACAGGGAAGCAGAGGGGCAATGGGTGAAGCCTCTACTCCCAAGGGAAACACAGCAGGACCTTTTGGCTTCAAAGCAGGTGGAAACTGAGTGGAAACTTCATAGGAAGTGAAAAGAGAAAGTGAGTTTCTGCTGGCTGGAGAGCACTGCCAAGAACACAGGGCAGCTCTGTGGCAAGTCCTTTCCTGCAGGGCTGACATGCACGTGTACCTTGCACGACAGGATGTTTCCAAAGGCAGAGAATGTGTCATACAGGGCTTTATTATCAATGGAGTCATCCAGGTTCTTGATGAAGACATTTCCAACACCTGATTTCCGGAGCCCAGGGTCCCGCTGGGACCACATGATGCGGATGGGACGACCTTTGATCACTTCAAAGTTCATGGTGTCCAGGGCCCGCTCAGCTGGCAAAGAAATGAACACAGGGAGAGAAGAGTAGCAGAGACACGTGGCCTTCAAACCATACAGCAGCTGAGATGGGCACAGGAATCAGAGATAGTGCTGGGCAGAAGCTTGTTAACCCAACCAACACAGACAGCTCTGCCTCCCAGGGCAGCAGGGGCTGCTCTTCTCCCCACCAGCCACAAGACTTCTTCCTTTTTACTTTTTTTTTTTCCCCCCTCCAAAGCATGTCTGACTCCCACGGGATCACTCATTTCCCTGCAAGCTCCAGCTTGGCAAATATCCAGCTCATTTACCCAGTAAGGATTTTGGTCTCCAGGGCAACTAACCCAACACCTTCCCATCACTGCTGCCTCGCCCCAGCATGAAGCAACTGCTGGGTACCACACCATGCAACACAGCATCACAGTGATGCTTGCCAGGAGAATGCCTTCTCCAAGCCACAAACCAGCAGGCAGCTGGTTGACCCAGGGAAAGGCAAAAGGGGTTTTGGTGCCCTTCTCCATCAGCTCACAGAGGACAGTGACTCTTGCAAGGTGCCCTTCTCCCATACAAGCCCAGAGCCCAGCTGCAGCACCTTCCCCATCTCTAAACAGAGATGGGAGTGGGGTGGGTCATCTCCTCAGCCATAGAAGAAGGAGCAGATTTGGATTAGCTACAACCAAAACCCAACATCAGCAGAATGTTGCCCTAACAGCTGATGCATCCCCTCAAACAACAGCTCCCCCCTTTCCCACCACCTGCCCCTCCTTTTCTTGCACACCCCAAGCCCTGTAGCAAGGCAGCTCCAAGCAGGGCTGTGTTTCAGGGAGCTCACCATCCACAGGCTGCTGGAAGTTTATGTAGGCATAGCCCAGCGATCGGCGTGTGGCCACGTCCCGACAGACGCGGATGGACATGATGGGCCCAGCAGGGGAGAACTTCTCGTAGAGCATGGCTTCAGTCACGTCTGGGTGGAGGTCCCCCACGTAGAGAGAGGCTAACGGATAGCCAGGGCCACTGGCGTTCATGGTCAACCACAAAGCTCAGCTGTGGAGGAAGACAGACCCCAAAAACACAGGTTTTGGATCACATGCCGCAGCCACAGACCCACGCCAGGGCTGGTCCCACCACAGCAGGGCAAGCTGTGCCCTTCCCACTGGCAACAGTAGGGCTGGAAATGCCCTAAGGATGCTGCAGTTCCCACATGTTTCAGGAACATTTCGATACTGGTGCAAAAGCTGAGCTGGGGCAACCTGCATGTCAGAGTCCTCACACACTCAAGGAGCAGCCAGAGGGACAGAACACACAGCAGTTTGTGCCTCTCAACACTCAAACCTTAAGAGAACTAAACCAGCTCCATTCCTCAGATGATAAACAGCCCTTCCCCACCAGAAACTTCCACTGTAATTCCAGGTACAGCCCGGCCAGGGGATTAGTTTCCCACGAGCAGCCCTGCAGCCCACACTGCAACTCCCAGCAACTGCCTCCATCCCCAACAGGGCAAATAAGACGTTTTTAGCCAGTCCTTCCCAGAGAAACACCCCTCAGCCTGCTGATAAGGCCCCAGAGCAGGAGCAGCAGATGCTCAGGTTTCGGTTGGGTGCAGGGCTGTGTGTCAGTCGCTGCTCCAGACCCCGGGGAAAACAAGCTCAGCTTCTGCCCTGAAAAGTTCAGCCCACTTCTGGAGCTCTGACCTCAGAGCCCAAGAGCCCCCAGCCCCCTGTTAACACCCCCTGCGGGTGCCCCAAACGAAGGCGCACACCCAGAGGAGGGGCGAGAAGCCACGGGGGCACACGGGAGAGCAGCCCTGCGGGACAGCCCCGCACACGCTGCCAGGAGGCACCTGCCCGAGCTTCACAGCGGTGCTGGGAGCAGAACAAGCGCGGGCTGAGAGAGCAAACACGGCAGAGGGCGAGGGAAGGGGGTTAAGAGAGGAGAGGAGCCCGTCCCAGCTTGTGAGGACCGAGAGAGAAGGAAGCGGGGAACCAGCCGAGCTGCGGGGCAGCCCCGTCCCCGCCGGCGGGAGCCGAGGGGCCGAG